GAGGTAGTGACTGGCACATAGTCAGTGCTTCTATAGATGCTGGCTGTGCTCTACAGGTAAAGAAAACTAGAGATCAATGACTATAGTGTCAACTGACCCCTCCTCCCTGCCATTCAGTTTCAGGTGTCCATTCTACTAGTCAACAAGTTTTTTTAAAAAAAATCTTGGTTAACCTACTTGTTTTGATGGAACATACCATCTGAAAGCTTCTTAAGAAAAGGTACATGGAAGATCAATTTCTTTGAAATCCTGCACGTCTGAAAATATCTTTATTTACCCCTATACTTGACCAATAGCTCGAATGGCTATCTATGTGGGGAATAACTGTCTCCCAGAATTATAAAGACATTGTTCCACAGTCTTTCAGTTTGGTGTGTTGCTGTGCAGAAATCTGATTGTAGGGACCAATGGTAGGTTGCTCCAAGATGGGCTGCTTTGGGATGAACAGTATTTTGAGCTAAAAGCAATCAGAAGGGGATCCCTGGGTGGCTCAGTGGTTTAGTACTGCCTTCAGCCCAGGGTGTGATCCTAGAGTCTCGGGATTGAGTCCCATGTCGGGCTCCCTGCATGGAGCCTGCTTCTCCCTCTGCCTGTGTCTCTGCCTCGCTCTCTCTCTCTGTGTGTCTCTCATGAATAAATAAATAAATAAATAAATAAATAAATAAATAAATAAATAAATATTTTTTTAAAAAAGCAATCAAAACCCAGCTGAGTTAAGAAAAGTTCTTTTCTGCCCCCTCCACTGCCTGGCTGTACCAGGAAGAAACTTATTAACAGATTCCTCTTTACTTAAGAAACTTACCTACAGAATAGGGCAACGTTTGTTTTCCAAGCATCTCTCCTTCCCTTCCTGCTAATGGTCTTTCTCCTCTCGGGACCCTCAGGCCTCTAGCCCTCTTCTGAGCTCATGTACGTGTCATGGAGCCTCACCGTCTTTGGACTTTCCATGTCTGTGTCGATTTCCTGTATGGATGCTCTTCAGTCTGACTTCCTCCTGTTATTCTGTCGATTTGATTCTTAGTCCAGCTAGAAGGATCTTGAAGGGCAGAGGAAATTCTTCTCCCCCCACCAGCCCCGCCCATAGTATGCAACCTCATTTTCCCCTCTAGGTGCTTGTAAGACCTTCTCTATGTCCCCGGTCTTCTGAAATGTTATCCAGGTGTGCCTTGATGTGATTTTTCTTTGTTTTTGTCTGTTGTGCTGGGCTCAACGAGTACTTTCAGTGTGGAAACTCAATTTGTACGCAGAAAGGATTAGGGTCCTCAGAAAAAGACAGACACAGACTTCTCGACATGAGAGAAGTCATGTAGGCGCCCCACCATCTGGTGGAAGAATGTAAGATCAAACAGCCACTCTTAGGCCAGGAGATAACCCGATCACATCAGGGACAGTAAAGCAGTGGAAACACTCCCGGGGCTGATCCAAAAATGAAGACTGACCTATTGTAATTCTTGAATTATCTTTGCGGGATCTTAAACTCCTTTGAGCACTCAGATACCAGACCTACTGGAGCCAGAGAATTGATGATGCTGACCCCAGCTGGCCCTTGTGACTTTGACCCAGACTCTATTACCTTAAGATGACTTTTGGCCAAATTCCCTGCCGAATTCCTCATTGCACAAGCCCCTTCATGACTATGCATGAACCCTAGCTTAAAACTTCCCCAGTGGTTCCCGGAGACACTCTTTTGGGGAATATCCCTTCACAAGTTGCAAGTTAAATACTTCCTTTGCCTAGTCTCTGGCTTGGTTGTGTCTTTTGATTGGACATTCACCAAGAGGCAAACCCAGTTTGGGATAATAATATCCTGTAGTTTGAAAAATATATAATTGTATTATTTAATTGATTTCTTCTCGGTTTCCCAGATGTCTTGGGCTGACTTTCAAATTTTCTTATCTCTTTCTCCTTTTTGCCTTTTGTCTATTCATCCTAGCATATTTCCTTAACTTTATCTTCCTACCACTGTACTGAGATTTTCATTTTTGCTATATTTATAATGTACAAGAGCTCTCTGGTTCTCTGTTCATTTTTTTTTTTTAGAGAATCTGTTCTATTTTTGTTATAATTCTTTTTATTTTTCAAAGGAAATTGATAATGGATTTTTGAAAGTTTTCCTCTCTCTACGTACTGTTTCTTTGAGATTTCTTTTTTCCTGTTCAGATTTGTGTCAGATCCTTTCCTTAAATTCTGATAACCTGCAGCTTCAGGCAAGAGTGTCAGATTTAGCAAAACAAAACAAAACAGGACACCTACTTAAATTTGAATTTTAGATAAACAGTAAATAATTTTTAGTATAAGTATGTCCTGTGCAACATTTAGGATACACTATGGCATATAAGTATTTTATACTTTAGTGAAGAATTATTTATTTATGTGCAGTTCCATTTAACTAGATGTCCTCTATTTTATGTAGCAACCCTAAGAGTCAGATCCTAAGTGCTGCCTGGAGGCTCTGTGCAGGTGGGCTGGGCTTCACTAAGGTAAATTCACTAAAGTCTTGTTTTCACTGAATACTTGATGACAGTCTCTCTGGGCCTTTACTCTCCCCAAAGTAGAATATTCCAAACTCTACATTCTAGAAACCACATAAGGAAGATTACTGACCCGCTAGATATTCATCATATTAAGTTTCATATAGATCTTCAGTGTCAGTACAGCTTCCCTAGCTAAGCGTGGCCGGCTGGACTAATAGCAAACCACAGGCCCCAAATGGTGTCACTTAGGAGAAGGCCCCACGTCATTAAACCAAGACTTAATCCCTGACCTCACTGCAGTTCCAAGCCCCCAGGAATGTAAGTTCAACGAGTCATGGGATTTCCTGATCAGCACTAGGAAATTTACGGATAGACCCTCTGTGCCCTCCACCTTGTCTAAAACAATGGAGACTTTGCTAATAATTTCCTCTTTTCCGCTCCTTCCTTACCTTTAACAACCTTTCCCTTTCTGTAGCCCTTTGGAGCGCCCCTCTACCTGCTGGACTGACTAGTTTGCTGCCTGATTCATGAATCGACCAATAGGGCCAATTAGATCTTTAAAATTTACTTGGCTGAATTTTTGTTATTTAACGCTGCAAATTTTTTGTTGCTCCCCCCAGTCAGGGATGGAGCCTAATACCGTCCCGTGAATCTGGGCTAGCCTTAGCGACTTGCACGACCTGCAGAGTGCAAGGGGGGGGGGGGGGATGATCCTTGTTTTAAGCGACTAAGTTCTGAGGCACCTTGTGAGGGAGACTTAAGTAACAAGAACAACCTGACCACACGGGTCCGGCCCATTCAAGAGATCCTCTGCTCTAACCCTCCAGCAGGGCTTCAATCTCTCCCTACAGCCCCCGGGATCCTACACACGTAGGGAAAAAATCCCTGTTCTTATTCTTACGTATACAACCACTTCCAGGAGCAGCGGGGGCGGCAGCACCTGCAGGTGAAGAGAAATTCCACTGCCGCTTGGCCTCACCCCTCTGGCTCAGGAGGCCGGCTAGGTCCGTGCGCCGGGCCGGCTGCTTTCCAGCCTCCAAATTTTGTTCTTTTTCCTCTCTTGTTACCTTATTCTTGTTAAAATCTGCTTTTGTGGGCGCCTGGGGGGCTCAGCAGTTGAGCATCCGCCTTCGGCCCAGGGTGTAGTCCTGGGGTCCGGGATCCAGTCCCACATCGGGCTCCCCGCAGGGAGCCTGCTTCTCCCGCTGCCTCTGCGTCTCTCTGTCTCTGTCTCTGTCTCTCTCTGTGTCTCTGCCTCTCTGTCTGTCTCTCATGAATAAATAACATTCCTAAAAAAATAAATAAATCTGCTCTTGTTTTAGTCGTGTTTCAAGAGAGAGCTGAGGCAAATGCACGTGTTCCTTCTGCTATCTTTAAAGGCTCCTTTGAGTCTTTAATTTCAACAACTGTATTAATTTTTTTTACACCCCGTCTTAGGGGAGACTCCCTGGAAGCAGAGGCCGGGTCCCAGCACGGGCCTGTACCTGCCCGGGCAGCACAGCGCCGAGGAGGAAGCCGGCTGGGCTGTGGCTTCTCCGGAGCTTCAGCTACAGGCCCGAGCTCCGGGACCGGGAGCGGGGGAGCCACCAAAGTGTCCCTGCCTTTCTACCCCGTGAAGTCAGCGGTGGACCTGGCTCCCAACCTGGCGGCAGGGCAGCTGTGCGAGCCCCGGGCGGCCTTGCCCAGGAGAGGTGACCTGGGTGATCAGCTCCAGTCCCTTTTTATTGTTTTTTTTTTTTTTTTTATTTTTTAGGGTAGCCCAATTGTTCATTTTTAAGGGATGCAATGGTGTCTCCCGGGGACCTGGTGGGGCGGGGGCTAGCACCTCGGGGGTGGGGGGCTATCACCTGGGGGCGGGGGGGGGGGCTAGCACCTGGTGGACGTGGGTGGCTAGCACCTGGGGGGCGGGGGGAGGGCTAGCACCTGGGGTACGGGGTGGGGGTGGCTAGCACCTGGGGGACAGGGGCGGGCTAGCACCTGGGGGGCGGGGGGAGGGCTAGCACCTGCGACGTGGGTGCTAGCACCTGGGGGCGGGGGGGTGGGGGTGGCTAGCACCTGGCAGACGGGGACGGCTAGCACCTGGGGGGCGGGGGGAGGGCTAGCACCTGGGGGGCGGGGGGGTGGGGGTGGCTAGCACCTGGGGGACAGGGGCGGGCTAGCACCTGGGGGGCGGGGGGAGGGCTAGCACCTGGGGGGCGGGGGGGTGGGGTGGTGGCTAGCACCTGGCAGACGAGGACGGGCTAGCACCTGGGGGGCGGGGGGGGGGGGATGAGGGCGGTGATCCCGGGTGGGGTTGGGGCGGGGCGGGGGTGATCCCGGCGGCTCCCGGGCCGCGGCGCCCCCGGACGGGCCAGGCCAGCGGGGGGCGCGGGGTCGGCCGGGCCTGGGGCGCCCCCGCCTCCCCCGGGCCCCAGGTGCGCCTCCGCCCCCGGACGGCTTCCGGCCCCGCGCGCAGAGGCCCGGCAGGAGCTCGGGCTCAGTCTCCACCCCGGAGTGGGGCGGGTCCGTCCGGGGTCACACCCGCTCCCGGGCCGCCTGGGCGGGGTCCGCAGGGCTCGAGCGCAGCCGTGTCCGCAGCCGCGGTAAGGGCGCCTGGCGGGGGGCTCGGGGCGCCTGGCGGGGGGCCTGGCGGGGGGCTCGGGGCGCCCCCGGCCCACGGGCTGCGGGTGCGGGTGCGGGTGCGGGCGGGGGTGCTCGAGGTGACGGGCGCGGGGTGCTCGCGGGGCCCGGGGTGCGCCCAGCGGGTCCCGCCCGGCCCGTCGGGGAGGAGCAGCCACAGCCGGGCGCAGGCTCGGGGTAAGGAGAAGCGGCTGAGGCCCCAGCCCCGCAGCTGGCCCGGCCCGAGACCCAGGTTGCCCCGTGACTCTCTTTTCCCCTTTTAAGAAAGCTGCGCCCTCCTGCTGGTCTCGGGGCCTTCCCTCCCTCCCCGCGCCTCCGGCCTGGCCCCGAGTGTCCTCCCCCTCACTCCCTACCCCCTCACCCCTCCACCCCCCTCCATCCCCCCCACCCCTCACCCCTCCACACCCCTCCATCCCTCCACCCCCTCACCCACTCACCCCTCCACCCCCTCCATCCCCCACCTCCTCCATCCCCCACCCCCTCACCCCTCACCCCTCCATTCCCCACACCTAGGAGCCCACTCCGGTCACCACCTCCACCACCTGAACCTGCCACCCGCCATAGCCCCGGCTCCCCCTTGGGTCGGGCTCTGGGAGCAGGGGAGGCTGACCTGCAGCAGGAACCCCCCACGGTTCCGACAGGGTCCCCTGAGCTCCAGAAGGGACAGGGTCCTGCTCCAAGTTACACATCCCCGTCCTCTCTGTAGGTTGTAGGCAACCCTGGTGATGGCCAGACCCTAGCTCTTCAGTTGCAGGGACTTGAGAGGACAGACAGGTGGCAGAGGGAACAGGAGTGACATGGGCCCTCGTGGTCACCCAACACCTGCTTCACTGCCGGAGCCCAGCCCTCCCTGGGCAACGCCGGACCTCTGTTGTTTTGGGGAAACGCACGCACACAGAACTTTCCATCAAGGGCCTCTAAGAACTTCCCTCCTAAATAGTCTTACATTTGGTTATAGGGATAATTTTTCTCTGAAAGCAAGTTAGAGAGTAACACGCACGGTCAAGTCAAATCACAGCGGCCCTCCGCATCTGAAGGCTGAGCCTCCGGGTTGTCCTCCGACTCACGTCCTTTGCGCCCCGTGTGTCTGTCCAGCCCCTCCCTCGTTTTCCCCACCTGGGTCCTCAGCTGGTCCACTAAGCCCCGTGTTCTGCAGGAGCAGGTGCTACGCTCTGCCCACTGCCGGGAACAGCTGAGGCTTTACTGTAAACCAGGGGCCGTGCTGTCAATTTGACTGAGATATTTGAGATCAAAAACACTTTTTATGCTAAAACAATCATATATTTTGGAGTAGAATTCAAAATTTATACCTTAAAAAAAGATTTATTTATTTGACAGAGAGAGAAGTACAAGCAGGGGGAGAGGGAGAGGGAGAAGCAGGCTCCCCGCCGAGCAGGGAGCCAGATGCGGGTGCTAGGATGCTCCATCCTGGGACCCTGGGGAAGGCAGATGCTTAACCCACCGAGCCACCTGGCCCCCCCCCCAAATTTATACCTTTTTAATATAAACAAGAAGCTTTTTTTGCTGGGGTTTTGGGCTTTGCTTTGCCCCCCACGAAGCCCCTGAGGGTTTGCTTTCACTGCAAGTAGTGTGATGGGTGCTGCTGTGTCCTACCTGGAGGGATCAGATTAGTGGTCGTCCTTGGTTACTCATTTACTCTTTATTTCAACTTGAGGTGGGGTTCCTAACCTTGTTTTACAGACGAGGTGGGCCTGGGGACACTTGTCAATGGCCCTAAATTCTTGAGGGGTTGGCATGTGGACAGGAGAATGAACTCACTCCTCATGGGGTCGGGCAGGGCCGGGGTGGATGGCAGGCTCCACTGAACGTGAGTTGTGGCTCTCGAGTCCCCTGGGCTCGGTGCACTTGGGATGGAGAGCTTTCCCAGCAGAGGTGTCTGGGCAGGGGTGTAGTCCCTTTGGCTGGGCCTGTGAAGGTAGAAGGTCAAACTGGGATGACCTCTAAGGGCGTAGCTTCCTTACTTCGGGGTACATCGGGATTCCTCAGGAAGCTTGCACAGCGTGCAGACCCTTGCCCACTCCCCAGAATCTCACCCTGTATGACAGGGTTGGGCCCAGGAGAATGCATGTGTAATCGGTTCCCCAGATGATTGTGATTCGGATGTTTCCCGTCCCTTGCTTTGAGTCAGGGAAGCTTCAGAAACACTTACATGAGCGTATGCACGCTTGGCAAATTGCTTAGAGCCTTAACAAAGACACGGGACCTCAGGGAACTTAGGCCTGTCGTCCTGCTGCAAATTATAAATAATGCGGTAAAAGCTGATGCCGTCCCCATTGTCAAGGACAGCTCTTTATTATACCTGTCACATGGGATTCACCCCGTAGTTTTACATTGCTTGACCCCCCCCCCCAGACCGAATAGAGGGTCTAAACTAAAAGGGTTTCATTTTTAGACTTCACGGGACCTGGGATGGGTTGCTGTGTCAGGAATAACGGACCTAGGAATTTGGCATTTCGAAGCCCCGTTGCTTGTTTCGAGCCTGTGAGTGTTGTGTCTGAGCTGGACTAAGGGCCTCGGCTGTGGGAACCTGACCCACCACCTTTGAACAGTTCTTTTTAAAGGTTTGAGATGGGCCCCCCGGGGGCTCAGCAGTGGAGCGCCTGCCTTGGGCTCAGGTAGTGTCCCCGGGTCCCGGGGGTCCCGGGATCGAGTCCTGCGTCCCCGAAGGGAGCCTGCTTCTCCCCCTGCCCGTGTCTCCACCTCTCTGTGTCTCTCATGAATAAATAAAATAAACACAAAGATTTTAAAAGATATCAAGGATTTTTAAAAGATTTCATTTATTTGACACGGGGGGGGGGTTGCGAGTGAGAGGGAGAAGCAGGCCCCCGACCCAGGGCGCCCCGAACCGCCTGCACGGAGGCCCCCAGCGCCAGCTCCTTGAGCAGCGGCCCTGGCCTAGCGCGTCGCGTGTCACCCCGAGGGCTGAAGGAATGTGTGCAAACTGAGGCCGTCCCTGAGCTCAACCTGCACAAAACGAGCCCCTTGTGCAGGTGACCTCCCCCCCCCCAGGGCTTCCGGACTCCAGCTCTAGAGGATGGCGCCCCTAGAAAAAACCGTCCGCAGGTGATTGTTGTGCACAGTGAAATTCGAGACCTTTCCCTGGGTATCACGTTAGGTGCTTTATGGTCTGTATGGTAATGAGGATCGGTTGCAGCCACAGTGTGCTGACGTCATCCAAGGCCAGAGAAAGAAGGAAGTTGGCAGAGGCTAGTGCGGGGGCGTCTTTCTTCCAAAGCCTCTTGGTGGGTTTGTTCTTGTCTCTGACCCTGAAGGGGGTCACTTGGCCACTTGGAAACCGTTAGCTGCCGTTGGAATGGGGTTGCCTTGGACCCATCGTTATTTCTTCCCGGATGAGGCCTACCCTCACGGTCTTCCGAGCCCGACCCCTGCACGCGCGCAGGTTCTCTTAATGCGGAGGGAAGGTGGGGCGAGGGCAGCGTAGCCCGTCCCGTCGGGAGCCCTGCAGTGGTCCCTCCCGTGTCAAGTCAGGCCAAATTAAGTGACTGTGTCGGGGGCCTAAGTCTGCAGGCCAGAGCCGAGCCTGGATTTTGGCCCACGTCTGGGATTTGCAGGCCGCCTTGTCCCACACTGGGTGGCCTCCGTCGGGCCCCTGGCGGCAGGGGGCCCGGCCCGGGAGTTCAGAGGGTCCCGCACACGGAGCAGGGCCGCGCAGCTCTGCCCGGAGTGATGCATGTTTGCAGTGAGGGCTTTGAGAACTCCACTATTGATTTTGTTATTTTTATAACATTTTAAAAAATTTTATGTATTTATTCATGAGACACACAGAGAGAGGCAGACGCAGGCAGAGGGAGGAGCAGGCTCCCTGCAGGCCGATGCGGGACTGGATCCCCTGACCCCGGGGTCACGGCCTGGGCCCAAGGCGGCCACTCGGCCGCTGAGCCCCAGGGGCCCCAGGAGTGTGCACTTGCACCCAGCGCCCAGCGTGTGTGACGGCGTGCAAACCACACACGTGTCTCCCAACACCGAACCGCGTGAACCTCTTTTAGGTTGAAGTACCGGCGCCCCCGCCCCTCCCACTTCTCCAGCTCCCTGGTGCGGGTGCCAGGCCCGGCCGCCCCGGGGCTCCGCGGATCCCCTGGAGCTGAGAGGGGCGGCGACACCCACGGCCCCCCCAGGCCACGCGGGGCTGTGGAACAACCCACGCCCACAGCCGAATCCGGAGCAGAGGTGAGGGCGGCAGGCGAGAATGGGAGCCGGCGGGGGCTCCGGGTCTCTGGGCCCATAGAAGAGTTCTGGAATCGGAGGGTGGGGGTGGGTGCTGACCCGTGAACGCGGTCACTACCCCGACTGAGCTTCCCGGCCTTGGTTTCGCCTCGGGTTGTGGTCTCAGGGCCCCAGGGGCCTGGGTTCGAGCCCGGCATGGGGTCCCGCTCAGCAGGAGGCTGCTCCTCGCCCTGTCTCTCTGTCTCTGCCCCCCTCCTGCTCGTGCGCGCGCTCTCTCTCTCTCTCTCTCAAATAAATAAATCTTTAAAAAAATACCATTGAATTATATGCTTAAAACTGGTTAAAATGGTAAACATCATCATGTGTATCTTATCACAGTTTTCTCTAAAAATGTGCCTTCTCTACTCTTCGGTCTCCCGGTGGGTGCCGGAGCGTCCTTGCATCAGCCTATTAGGAGTAACTGTGACATTTTCAGGGTTTTGTGACCTGATTCAATTCAGTTATATGAACTTAGCAATAAATAAGTTATATTAAAATATGTTTATAAATAAGTTATATTTAAAGTAGCATCACTTCCTAATTATTTTACTACCTTTCATTATCCCGTATGCTCTTGTGGTTACTCATGCCTGCTTTGTCTTGAAATACTGCCTACCTCGTCCTAGTTCTAGGTTCAGTGACATCACATTGTGATTTGAAATCAGTCACGTTGCAAATATTCATGCCAAAGAAATGGCTACACAGCAGGGTTTTCCTT